GAGCCCAGGGTGAGGAGTGATGGGTCTGCAACAGTACAGGGAAGGCACTTTGGGCAGAAGAAACAGCACAGCCAAGGTGTGGAGGTGAGACCGTGAATGGAGCACGGAGGGAGTGAAAAGGTAGCAGGGTCCTAGTTTAGAACGGGAAGCAAAAACATCTGGGTTACATTCACCTGCAGTTGGGAACCATTGAGGGTTTGCAAGCGGGGGTGGGGTGGAGGGGTATTTCCAGCATTTTTCATAGTAACCTGGTAGCAAGGAGAAGGCAAGGGAGTCCAGAGAGGACAGCCAGAGCTTAGTCCGAGCTTCAGAAAGGGGTAGAAAGTGTCCGTGACCCTGCGTGGCACCTTACCTTTGGTTAGAGGCTGTCAGCTGCCAGCGACCAGGACAGACTCTGTCCCTGTGACCTCTTCAGAGAGTGACCCTTCAGAGCCCGCCCCGCAGCGGGGGCTCTGACACTGTGCTGAACTGTGTTCTTGTTAGGAGCCGATCAGCTTTAACTTCCCAGAGCCAGCTTCCCTCTCTGCTGCTGTTCCTTCGGTACAAGCTCTTATATCTCTTAATGAGCTCAAAAGGCCCTTTGTGGGTTTTTTTGTGTTTTTTTTGTTTTCACTTGAATTTAGCCCTTGGTGAATGGGTCAGGGGAGCATCACTTGCTGTGGCTTCTCTGGCCTTTGACTCCTCATCGACCTGGGCCACAGAGACGGTTGCCTTCCTCTGCCCCGCAAGCAGTGTCCATTAGTCTACAGTCTTTCCTTAAGCACCTACTAAGTGCTAGATCCTGTGCTAAGGGATGCAGAGGTGATGTGGCTGGAAGTTGCTCATAGTTTTAGTGGGAAAAGACAATACCGATCGCATTTTTTGGAGGCTTTAGGGAAATAGTACACCTCTGTTTATGTCCTGAGTTCTGAGCCAATTAAGAAAGAGACAGGGAGTGAGATGGAGATCACACTCCCAGCTTTGTGCCCAGGGAGGCTGAATCGGAGGATGCATCGTGACTCCTGGCCTCAGCTGGGCTCCCAGTGCATCACAGCTGATCGAATTCACCCGTCCCGAATTGCTGGCCTCGCTGTCGCAGGGGCAGAGCCCAGCATCATGCCCGCAGGAGCAAGCCGAGAATGCGGGCATTCAAGGCTCCAGGCTTCCACCCTCTTGGTTGAGACGCAGGCCAGCCTCAGGCCCCACCTGGCAGGTGAACAGGGCCAGAGAAGTTGATGGCCTTGCCCAAGGTCACACACAAGGCCTGGGCGCAGGGATCGAACCCTCCATGTTCCCCTGACACTGGCTGACCAACGGGGTACCCTAGAGTCCTGGTAGCAAGGAGAAGGAGGGCTTGAATAAGCTGGAGACAGTGCTGCCTCAGAGACCCAGAGAGGGGGCCAAACCAAGAGCGGAGGCCAGCTGTCCACTCTTAAGATCTCTTTGGAGGAAAGAGGCTCCACTGGGGAGAAATGGTTTGAAAATCACCCCAGCCCTTTGCGCCTGGGTCCTTCTGTTTGATCTTAAAACGCAGGGATCAGGGAGCAGCGCAGGCCGTGCACTCGCCTGCCCCTCTGCCTCGGGAGCGCAGGCCTCAGCAGTGACATGAGCCTGCCCCTACAACTTGGACAGCACGGCAAAGAAGTCCTCGGGGGTCTGGATCCTCTCTCCCACCTTCTCAATCATGACTCAGCTCAGCCCCCGTCGTCTGTTTCCTCATCACAAGGAGGGAGGAGAGGCACCAGACCTGTAGCCGAAGACACGGAACCAAGAAGACACTCGGTCCCGTGTTTGTTTTCACGGGGACCCACACAGAACAGGGTGTCATCTACATTGTTGTGTTGGTGTTCAAGGCTCCCCCCACTGCTGCAACATACACCTTGATTCTTGTTATAAAAACTCTGGGGACTTCCCTGGTGGTCCAGTGGCTGGGAGTCCGCCTTCCAATGCAGGGGATGTGGATTCGATCCCTGGTCGGGGAACTGGGATTTCACATGCTGCGGGGCAACTAGGCCCGCACGCCACAACTAGAGAGGAGCCCGCGCGCCGCAATGAAGAGCCTGCGTGCCACAACTAAGCCCCGAAGCAGCCAAAAAACAAATACATGAAAATAAAATAAAATAAAATTTAAAAATCAAAAGCAAAACAAAGCTCTGGAATCATTTAGTCCCCGCTCTCCCAAGTTGGCCTTTATTCCGGAGCGATCTAGATGGGAGGGGCCTGTGGTGTCTCACCCACCCACAGGCAGCCCTGGGACCTTGGAAATGAACACGAACTCACCCCCAAAGGGAAGCAAGTCAGGAGGCAGCATACAGAGGGAGGAACATTCTGTATTGCTGCCCCCGCAGCCTCCAGGCTCTGGAACCTGAAACTGCGAGATACACCCCAGACTCTTCTGGCGGGAGCTTGGAGAGAGTCGTGTTACTGGAAGACAGCGGGCAGCCCTGCGTGTCTATCTCCCAGGAGGGCAGGTTTTGCAGAGGCCCAGGTGGAAGGACAGACGCGTGTGGTCTTTGTTCCTACAGAGGCCCCGTGTGTAGTAGGTGCTCAGTAAGTACCTCAAGAGAGGAGTCTCGGAGGACGTGAGGCAGGCGCAGTGCCGGCCCGGCCACACTTAGAGCTCAGTTGTATGTGAGTGTCCGAGTTTCCAGGTCTGAGAGGCTGGGCCTCTCCCCGCAGGTCCCCGGGCCAGCCCATCACCTCTGCTCCCTGTTGAGGGGGACTGACGGCCAGAAGCACAGATGGGGTGCAGGGGGGGTCTCTGCCTCCCCCGGGCTGCTCATGGCCTGAGGAATCAGTCACTGGTGTGACTATGGTCACCAGGGAAGTGAGGTGCTTAGGAGAGGGCCATGCAGTGGCATCGACACTGACCACACCCTGTCCAGAATTTCCAGTCTCCGCGCCTGAAGCTGGAGGTGGGGAGATAGAAGGGTGGATGTCAACAGAACGTGCTGTCCGGGGGCGTAGCCAGGACCCCTCACAAAATGTCTCTAGGGACACAGCCATCAGAGGGATACCCAGGCTGGGCTCCCCTTCCAGCTGGGGGGGGGTGGGACGGGGTCAGAGGTAGCTTCTGGGGGTGGTGGCCGTTGAGCTGGGCTTTAAAGGGGGTACAGGAGTGACACCATCGGGGCAGAGGCAAGAGAATAAACAAAAGCCCAGGGAAACAGCGGCAGCTTAACACGGCAGAGTCCGGGGGTGTAGGAAGCAGTAGGAACACAGGTTAGTAGGGGTGGTAGAGACAGTCACCAAGGGCTCCGGATGCCAGGCAAAGGAGTCTGGATGTTATCTGGAGGCAGGGGAGACACTGTTCTCTGTAGGGAGCTGAGAGCACAGCCGCAAAGCCACGCCTGCCTATACCTTGCCCCGGGACCTCGGACAAATTGCTCAGCCTGTCTGTGCCGCAGTCTCCTCGTGTGTATAATGCGGATAAAATAATAGCACCTAGTGGATCACGGTGCAGATAAAGCAGAAGTGAGAGCACTTCTTTGCACAAAGCACGTTTGATGATTATTAGCTACTGTTACCGTTCATTCATTCGCAGCCACTTCCTGCACTCTGACTGCCAGGCGCTCGTCCAGTCGCTGGGGACACAGCGGTGAATAGTGTGAAGCTGGTGGCTTATGTTCTAGAGGGGCCCCGCAGACAGTGAGTGAGACAAACAAGGTGAGCCTCGTATTGGCCGGAAGAGAAAGCAGGGAAAGGAACTGGGTCGTGCTGGGTCAGGACGGGGTAGGGGGAGCAGCAGTTTTTAGGTGGGATGGTCAGCAGAAGCCTCCCAGAGGCCATTCCAGGGAAGACTGAAAGGGGTGAGGGGTGCACAGGAACGGAAGGAGCACTTTTCAGCAGGGTGGTGACCCCACCGGAGCTTTGCCTGGGGAGGCTGGTCTGTCAGTGGCTGCGCGGGACAGAGGGGCTGGAGGAGAGACAGGAGGGGCGTGAGGAAAAATGTCAACATTTTCTATTTCTTTGTATTGTGCTCTTCTAGCATTCCTATTCTCGTGTGCCTTCCGTTATACACGTGTGCGTATACACGTAACTTGGAGATATGGGCACAAAACATCCTTCTCTGCTAGGAGTGGAGGCCAGCAGTCAGGGCAGGAGCGGGCGAGGAAGGGACTGCCCCGGGGCTGGGAGGAGGGGTCCGTGGGCCCGGAGCACAGCGGCCACCTGAGCGGGGGCTCAGGTGTGGCTGAGGAGGGAGAGGAGTCTTCCCACATCCAGCCAACGCAGGCCCTACATTGGAGAGGCAGTGGGGCCGTGACCTCAGGGCCCTAAGGGAATGACGGATATGAGCGGACCTGGGGATGGCTGGGGGCACGGGACGTGCATGATGGAAGCCAGGGCTGCAGAGCAATTAGGGACCCTCCACGTAGGCGTGGGAGACTTGAGACCTGAGATTGGAGGAGAGCTCATTTTCCTGCTTTTTGGAAAGCGATGGCTCGTCAGTGTTATACAGTTACTAGTCCCCCCGGTGCAGTGGCTTTCCCTGGTCGGTCCAGGGCAGGGTCTGATGGAGCAGTGATTTTATGTCGTGCCCATAGCAGCCACCACCTGCTGGCCTTGTCACAGTTCCTGGCATCAGGGGAACCAGCCCGAGAGCAGAGCCGTTGCCCTGTGAGGGGCTGTGCCCCTCTGGTTTGCCTGTCCTTGGGTTCATCCAGCCCTTCTTCTGTGGTTGTCAGAGCTGAGGGCAGGTGTCCCTGGTGTGCCCTGAGGATGCGTGACCTCCGAAGGCGGGGGCAGGGCCCAGGCAGGCCTCACTCCCGTCTCATCGGTGGTGACAAGTGTCCCCTCCAAGGCCGCACGGCCTTGACTCGAGTGCCTGTGAACAGTGGGCGGGAAGGACCGTCAGCCCGCGGCTGTTTCCACTTGGGGTTGGGGGCTAGGCTGGCTGGCTGGGCCCTGCGTATTCCAGGTGGGCCCCTGCCAGACTCCCACGGTGGAGGGGAGGCGATGTCCCAGGGCCTCTGAAGGGCAGTGGCCCAGGACAGCATCTACCTGTGCTCTCCTCCTCACAGCTGAAGTCTACATCGGCATTGGGAAGCCGGCAGAAGCCACAGCCTGTACCCAAGAAGCTGCCAACCTCTTCCCGATGTCCCACAACGTCCTGTACATGCGAGGCCAGGTTGCCGAGCTCCGAGGAAACACCGAGGAGGCCCGGCGGTGGTACGAAGAGGCCTTATCCATAAGCCCCACCCACGTGAAAAGCATGCAGCGGTTGGTGAGTCTGAGCGCTGGCGGGGCCTCCGGCCCTGGACCAGGGGTCCCCCGGGAAGCGGCACATAGTTCTTGACCCTCAAACCCTGTTCCCGTTCCAAAGGCCAGATGCACTTGGCCTGCCAGGCTGTCAGGGTGCATAAAGCCAGCGAGCGCCGTTCCTGTTGTAGTTTACGCAAATGGAGCTCATAGGAATCGGCAGCGCACAGCCTCAGCGACCCTACCTGGGGGTCCTGATCGGTATGAGAGGAGAGTTTTGAGTCAGCGGTCTCCGGCCAGCAGTCCAAGCCACCTTGTGGCTCTGGGTTTAATAAAGACATATTTGTGGCCCTGGGCACTGTCACTGTCATCTTGGTCTCCGAGCTGCTTATAGCAGCCACCTTGGGGGTGTCCGCACCTTGGGAAGCCTTCAGTACAGAAGTCAGAGCACTTTACCTCCTGGGGGGCTCTCTTACCTTGAGGGAGCCGAGACCCCAGCCTGTCTCCGAGGCCACTGGCTAGTGGGAGCATCCTGTCAGAGGACGGGGGCAGCCCTACTGCACCCAGAGGACCCAGGTAAGTCACCGCAGCGTCCACACTGCATACGGGTGTGGTGGCTCTGAAGCCGCACATGCCCCTCCTCTGGGTGCCCGGCCAGGAGCCCGGGGCTGCCCCACTTCTCCCCTCCCTTCCTTGCCTGGGAGTTGGCCACCCGACCACCTCGGTTTCAGTTGGGCGGGGTCAGTTAGACCACTCACACGTGGGGCACAGCGGCTGCACAGGAGCCGCCCGTCTGCTGTCCCCTTCCTGCGAGAGTCTGGATGGAGACTTGGAGATGAACCGGGTCCAGGGAGCGGGTGAAAAGCTGCTTTCTCTGGGCCTGTCGGCCAGACTTAGCTTCTGAATTTGTATTTCATTCTTAGCGGTAGGACAGCTCTGATTTCATGAGCCACGGGAAGGGAAAAGCCCATAATGCAGCCAAGGTGTCCTTCAGGTGGGCAGCCCTCGGGAGCCCAGCGTGTATGATCAGGGGGGTGTGACGTGGAGGAACGGGCATCGGACAAGGTGTCCAGGGACAGAATTCTGGCCCCGCCGTGTCACTCGCTCGCTCTCTGACTTTGGGGAAAGCCCATAAGCTCTCCACACTCGGTATCCTTGCTGTAAAATGAAAATATTCAACTAGATAGGCTGTGAGTTTCTGTCCAGTGCTAAGAGGATACGGTTTTGTAACCAATAAGTAAAATGTTCTCTAGAGGGTCCCAAAGGCTTTGTTCTCTCACCATTGCTCACAGTAACATCGCAAAATGTAGACAGAGCTGAGCAGTAACTAGTGGTTTTCAGCAGAAGAGGGCCCAGGTGCCCAGCATTAGGAACCATGGGAAACGTATGCTTCTGAGCCAGATCTGGGTTCAAACTCAGCCCTGTCCCTGCCCCTGGGACACCTTGGGCTAGTCACTTAACCTCTAAGAGGCTCGGTGTTTCTGTGCATTGAGCTGTTCCTTACCCAGTTCATTTGTGAGAACAACATGAAATGGTTTACATAACGAGGGCAGCAGAGCTCCTGGCACCTAGTAGGTGCTCATTAAATAGAAAACTGAAGACAATCATTTTCAGTTTTAAAAATAAATCAAACCTTGTAATAATTACAATCATTTAATTTTCAACTTCCCTTTATGAGCATTTTGTAGTTCAATACAGCTTTATAAATAATTTTACGTATTATCCAAACATTAGTTTGTTTGGTTAAAAATATTCCATGGCTTTTCATTTTTGTCTCACTATTGTAAGAGGAATCTGTAAAGAGCTTCTGAGATCTCCCTGCTTTTGCTGAAGTATCACAGAAGAGGTATAATCAACACCGAGTACCCAGCCTTTTTATTAAAAAGAGGCAGCGTGTTTCTACCCCGGGGCCTATGAATTATTCAGAGGAGTATTTCTTGTTCGTCCCCAAGGGGAACACATGAGACAAAAGATCAAATAGGAAAATCGCACCGGGAAAGTTTTCAGTTTCACCTTTGGAGCTTGTCAAGACACCTGAGCTCCCTGCCAAATGCCAGACGCTTTCCTTTCTGAAAGGAGCAGCAGTGGGCCCAGCGGAGGAGAGCTGGTGAGCGAGGGCCGGGTGATGGAGGGGCCTTGCCTGTTGGATCCAGGGCAACGACCGAGCCTTCTCTGGCCTGGAGACATTAGCTGTCTTGGAAGTCTCAACAGGAGAAAATTGCGATAATAATAAACTCTTAAGACTTCTCCACGCATCCTGATACATTCAAAAACTATCCAGACTGGAGGCAGATTGAGTCCGACAGGCCTACAAATTTGAGGAGTTCAGATTCTCGTGGTCCGAAACTGCCCAGTGACTGTGATTGTTGTGGGTCCCAAAGGGTGTCTTGGCCAGTTCCTTCTTGGTGACCTTGTAAATGATGCACGCTGGCCTGCGTCCTCCCAGCCACAGCCACAGCTGGTGGGAGCCCCGCTGCAGCCAAGGTCAGCTTCCCCTCCCACCGGTGCTGCCGACTCTCCCGGTGCCCATGGAGGGGCAGCCCCTGGAACCCAGGCCCCCAGCCCTGAAACATCACAACCCTCTCTTTCCTGCCTCCCACCCCAGCTGCACAGGAAAGCTCTGTTTCTTTGGCTCACCCTCTTGGTGCATAAAGAGGCATAATCTTAGCCCCAGACACAAATGAAGCACAGGAAGGGAAACCTCTTATTGAGTCACAGAAGGTCCTGCCCCTACCCTCGTGGCAGCCAGACTGCTTTGCAAGCCCCTAAGTGAAGACGAATTGTCAGCAGGGAGATCAGAGGCCGCCTTTTTACCAGGTGACGTCCAAGGGAAGAGTCGGGGGCTCTAGACTTACGGGGCAGAGGAGGCGGAAACAGATATGAGCGTTGGCACCTGCCTGGCTCTCAGGAGTGGGGTGCGCAAGTGACAGGGTGGGCCAAGGAGGCCTGGCCGCAAGGCCACGGCGAGGGTCAGAGGTCAGACTAGAAGGAGTTTGAAGGACCTGAGCGCAGCAGCAAGCACCACCCCAAAGAACCAGCCAAGGGGCTTCCAAGGGAAGGAACCGACTGCAGGCAGATTGCAGGTCATGGAAAAAGCCCAGAGGATGGAAAGTGCGTCTGCGTCAGCCCTGATGCTCAGAGAGGAAGGAGAGGGGCCAAGGGGCAGTCGGAGGGAGCCAATTTGAAGGAAGGAAGCCACGTTGTGTGTCACAGGTGGAGACCAGGGGCTGACGGTGGCCACGGAGAACGGTTAGCAGTCGGGGCGCGAGCTTGTTCCCTGAGGAACGATTGTTTGCTACCTTCTAGGGCAGGTTAGTGGGAGGATGTGCCCCCGCCCAGCCCAGCTCATAGGAGAGGCATGATTTCAGAGAAATGCAAACGCGTTACTATTGTTAAAAAGCAATAACGACTGGGAGGCAGATGGTATTCGTTAAAGTATTAAATGTATTAAAGTTAATACAAGGTCAGACTTGACAACAGAAGTGTAAATTAAACCCCAGTGAAAATTGACAGTTTTCTAATAGCTTCAGCCTTCACAGATGTGTTTAAATTCACATACAGGGCAAAGAAAGAAGAGAAGTAATGTGTTTAATATTAATAATGAGTTAGCACAAGACAAGAGAGCCGAGTGTGGGCAGACAGTAAGGGAGCGGTGAGCTGACGGGATAAGGAATCACAAAGTGATGTTGTTGACAAGGGGAGGGAATCACAGAGTGATCAGACTTTTTTCCAGAAAACCTAAAGGCATATTTTCATATCATTTTTGCATAAGTATATAACTTTACATACATTTGCATGCCATGGTAAAAAGCCTTTCACTCCCAGGACCTGAGATAAATTAATGAAACATTGAGCAACTGTTTCCACACCAGTAACCCTGTGCTCAGGAGGAGGGGGTAGAGGAGGGAAATGGGACTCACGGCGGACTAAGGGCAGAGGAACGGCCTCTGGGTGATACCACCCAGGCCAAGGACAGGCACGGACTCAGGGTAGACAGGGACACGATGACCAGGATATGGACAGGCTCTGCAAACAGGGCCACCTGCTTGCCCTCTGATAACGTCACCCTAGGCTCCCGAGGGCAGTGTGTGAGATGGGAGGGTAAGAAAGGAACAGAGGGGCTTCCCTGGTGGCGCAGTGGTTGAGAGTCCGCCTGCCGATTCAGGGGACATGGGTTCGTGCCCCGATCTGGGAAGATCCCACATGCCACGGAGTGGCTGGGCCCGTGAGCCATGGCCCCTGAGCCTGCACGTCCGGAGCCTGTGCTCCGCAACGGGAGAGGCCACAATAGTGAGAGGCCCGCGTACTGCAAAAAAAAAAAAAAAGAAATGAACAGAGAGAGCCTTCAAGAGGGAGATGAACGTGGAAGGAAGCCAGAAAGGCTGTGTGCGGGGAGCTGATGTTGGTAAGACTAGAGGGGAAAATACTGCTGAGAAAGTAACTTATCCTGGAGCACATCACCAATGAACTCGACAGGTCGAAAAGAGGTGTGAAACAGAAGCAGATGGTGGGGGTCGCCCAGGGCGTGCTGGAGGCCGGGGCCACAGGAGAGGGAGACAGGCGTGCTCTGCTCGGGCGGTTTTGGGGAGGGTGTGAGCTGGAGAGGGGCTGGGCCCAAAGGGCCCCGCTCGTGCCCCACCCCCGCCCTGCAGGGAAGGAAGAGGACTGACGTGTCCCCAAGGGATGGGCCTCCAGCTACGGCAAGATGAGGGTCTCTCAGAGCTAATGCCGAAGCGGGGAGAAACCAGAGAGGAAGCACCAGGGACCACGCCCTTGAATGTCGAAGGTCCCACGACAAGGCCGGACACCCGGACAGGGACAGAGGCCATCCGTCCTTCAAAGGAGGGTAGTTAGGAGACCGGGGGTGGGTGGTGTGAATTTCACCCCCTCTGCCACAGGAAGTAGTGAGAAAGGCCCACTGGTGGAGCTCCCCAAAGAAAGGGGAGGACGATGGGGAAGAGAGACCATCGGAGGCCAGGGGTCAGGCCCCAGGGGTCCTCCCAGGAGTGGGGCGGAGGCCTCCCT